AAAATATGAATTAATCCTTGAATTTGCATCTTTAAAGAATGACAAATTAGTCCTCGTACTGTTCTAAAAAAAAATTCGGGGCGCTAACCTGAAACCCGACTTGACACAGTAGATCAGCGTTCGGTACTAACAATGTTCAGTAAATACAATTGTGCACTCCCACACCTCCTAACTTGTATTATAACTAAAACACTATTCTTGAAACACTTGTTAAATCCATTACACTAAAATATATTTGGTGATTAAATCACCAACAATCCTCCCCTATTTTAGTGTAACCCTGAATTAATAACCTTAAAACAAAAAGAAAACGAAACTAATGCATAAATAAAAATATCGATACGATTGAATTTTCATGCTAGTATATTACACATTTCAAACATTCGAGAAATCAAGGTATCTTAAAGATTGAACCCATCAACTCTTTTGAATATCTGAATATAATATACACATTAGTTTTACAGTCATCTCAACAAAATTACTTGACACTAATTATAAATTCGTGTGTCCCAATCCATTCTTGATCGTATAAAAGCCAAGCCCCAAGCTCTTTGAAGTGCGGCTACACTTCACGATCATATAGGTGATTCTTTTATTCATGTACCTGTATATATTTTATCAAAAGAATCATTAAGAAATCAAATTCATCCTGGTCTCTACAGGTTCAAACACACGTACCTTGGGATAGTTATAATGTGTGTTCCAATTCATATAAATAAGCTTTCCTCATTGAATTCAACCTCTAACATTGTATTAAAGGGGAATTGGGTGTCTCATTCATAAGAATTTATAAGGACTTTAAGCCCATCCCTATAATAGACTTGTGCACTAAGTCTCGCGCCAAACTCTTAGTGAGATGTTCCGCCAAATTTTGTTGTGATTTTACAAACTCAACCGAAATCACACCATCCATGATTAGATTTCTAATCATCCCATGTCTAACATCAATATGCCTCGATTTACCATTATAAACTTGACTATAAGCTTTACTCATAGTAGAAACACTATCACAGCGAATAGATAATGGTGAAATCGGTTTCCTCCACAATGGAATCTCATAAATCAAATTCTTTAACCATTCTGCTTCCTTACTTGCAGCAGCCAAAGCAATAAACTCAGATTCCATTGTTAAACTAGTTATGCAAGATTGCTTCTTAGATACCCATGAGATAGCACCTCCACCAAGCAAAAATACCCAACCAGTTGTAGAAGAATGATCTTCTCTATTGGATATCCAACTCGCATCAGAATATCCTTCTAATACCGAAGGAAATCCTGAATAACACAAAATATAATCCTTGGTTCCTTTCAAATATTTAAAAACATGATGAACCGCTTGCCAATGTTGAGTACTAGGATTATGAGTAAATCTACTCAATCTTCCCACTGCAAAAGCTATATCAGGACGAGTGCTAGTCATAGCATACATCAAAGAACCAATAGCTTGCGAGTACTCTAGTTGAGAAACTGATCTACCTCTATTAGGAATCAACTTCATGCTTGAATCCATAGGGGTGCTAACAGGTGTACAATCACTGTAATTGAACCGTTTGAGAATTTTCTCAATGTAATGTGACTGTGTAATAGCAAGTCCCTTGTTCATCTGTTTAATCCTTATTCCAAGGATTACATCTGCCTCCCCCATATCCTTCATAGAAAATTTTGAAGACAATAAATTCTTTGTTGCATTAACTTGATTCTGATCAGTGCCAAAAATCAACATATCATCTACATACAAGCAAATGATCACACCAGATCCAGATGAATCAAAACGGCTGTAAACACATTTGTCAGATTGGTTTAAAGAAAAAACCATTAGACAAAATAACTTCATCAAACTTCAAATGCCATTGTTTTGGAGCTTGTTTAAGTCCATACAATGATTTTACAAGTCTACACACTTTTTGCTCATTTCCAGGCAGAACAAAACCTTTTTGTTGTTTCATATAAACTTCCTCATCAAGATCACCATTTAAAAAGTATCACTAGATTGTGAATAGCTGCCAAAGCAAGCAACAATCTAATAGTAGAAATCCGTGCTACCGGTGCATACGTATCAAAATAATCGATACCGTCTTTTTGTCTAAAACTTTGTATGACCAGACGAGCCTTGAATTTATCAATGGTTCCATCTACCTTCATTTTATTCTTGAAAATCCATTTACATTCTAAAGGTTTAGAACCAGGAGGTAAATCAGATAACACCTAAACATTATTCTCCATAATGGATGACATCTCTTCATCAATCGCTTCTTTCCAAAACGCAACATCTCGAGACTCCATAGCTTCCTTAAAAGTCTTTGGATCAGTCTCAAGATGAGAGGAATATGAATATTGTTTCTTTACTTTATCCCTCGAACCTTCAACTAAAAATAGTTGAAATTCATCGCCAAAATTTTTCGCGACTCGACCTCGTTTGCTTTTACGAAGTTGTTGTGTTTCTAGAATTGAAACAACTTCCTTACCATCTGATTTAGGCACCTCACTTGAGCTTGGAATCAGATCTTTTGGTCTTTGAATTGAAGAATACCGCAGCTCATCAAAGATCGCATCCCGCGACTCTATAATGGTATGAATGGAATATTCCTCATTAGGTTCTATAAAATAAAACCTATAAGCTTTGGAATGTTCTGCATATCCAATAAATATGCAGTCAATTCCTCTTTCACCTAAATTTTTTTTTAGGTTCGGGTAATTTCACAACTGCTCGACATCCTCAAATCCAAAAATAATTCAAATTTGGTGTTTTCTTGTGCCAAAGTTCATAAGGAGTAACTTTGTTCCGTTTATTAGGAACCCGATTTAGCACATAATTGGCTGTGAGCATAGCTTCACCCCAAAAGCCTTCACTTAAACCTGAAAAAGAAAGTATCGAATTTACCATTTCTTTTAAAACTCGATTTTTCCGTTCCGCAACACCATTTTGCTGTGGATTGTAAGGAGTTGTGGTTTCATGAATAATTCCAACCGATTGAAAGTATTCAGAATCCATGTACTCTCCTCCCCTATCTGTCCGAAGAATTTTATAGAAATACCCAACTGTAATTCGACTTCGGTTTTATATACTTTAAACTTTTCCAAAGCTTCATTTTTGGAATGTAACAAGTATACATAACAAAACCGACTTGAATCATCAATAAAGGTAACAATGTACTCTTTATTTCCCAAGGAAAGTGTAGCATGGAAATCACATAGATCACTATGAATCAATTCCAACAATTTGGATTTTCTATTAACATTTGGAAACGATTGTTTCGTGATTTTAGTTAACATACAAGTTTTGCATTTTTCAGAATTAATGTCAAAAGCTGGAATGAATCTGGATTTTGACATTTCAATCATTATTTTAATATGAACATGTCCTAATCTATTATGCCATAACATAGAGTTATCAAGATTAGATGAAAAAGTCATACAAGTAGATTTGACATGTGATGCAAAACAACTTATAACATTTAACTTAAAAACACGATCACAATAATAACCAAATCCCACAAATATTCCACATTTAGACAACACATACTTGTTCGACTCGATCACTTGTTTATAACCCATACAATTCAACAAACCACTAGACACAAGGTTCTTTCGAACCTTTGGAACATACAATACATCAAACAAATTAATTGTTTTTCCAGAAGTAAACGTAATACTAACAACACCAGATCCTAAAATTGGCTTTGATCCTTCATCCGCCATATGTAAGACAGAACCTTTATTTACTATGTTCAACTTCGTGAACCACCGTTCATCATTACACACGTGATGTGAAGAACAGGTATCAAGCCACCATGAATCTGTATCAACCCCCTGTACAAAAGAAACTTCTGGAGTTAGTAGCATAACATTGAATACTGAACTTACAAGATCAACAGAAATTTGACCTTTGGTTGCAGATTGATCATGAGATCCATTGCCACCACCAGCACCATCTTTTCCACTACCACTTGCACCTTTCTTTCCAAGTTTCACCCGACAGTCACGTTTCATATGCCCTTTCAGATGGCATCTCCAACACACAAGTTCCTTGGAATCCTTGTACTTTTTGTTGGACTTCTTGTTGTGACCCTCATATTTACGTTTTTTACTCTTGCCCTTGTGATTAGAATTGTCTTCTTTATCACATTCAGCCGTATGAACTTGGGGCTGTCCAAAATCAGATTTGCCATTTCTAGTTCCTTTGTCATTCTCTTGATCACGAAGTCCGTCTTCGATTCCCAAGTTGAATCAAACTTATTTCTTCCTTTCTATGTTTCAGATGGTGTTTGAAATCCTTCCATGAGGGTGGAAGTTTATCAATCACACTTGAAATAGAAAAGGATTCATCCATGGACATGTTGTGTTGTTTGAATTGACCATAAATTCGTAGGATTTCATTATATTGTTCCATTACAGATCGAGAATCAACCATTTTATAATTGTTGAAATCAGAAACAATGAACTTTTTACTTGAAGCATCTTCTGCAATATATTTTGCTTCAAGTGTGTTCCATAATTCACTTGCAGTTTCAATGTTTTGATGAGTGTCAAAGAGGGAATCACACATACCATTAAGAATGTAACCAAGGCAGATGTAGTTGTCATTCTCCCATTTGCTTCTTCTTCTTATTTGTTCCAGACTTGCATCTTCAACCTCTTCTGGTTTGGGAGTAGAGAGAACATAAACAACTTTCAAAGTAGTCAACCAGAAGTGCATCTTTTGCCAACGTCTGAAATCTTGGCCCTGAAATTTCTCCAATTTGCCAAACGAAGTATTCATGTCTTTCAATGAATTGCCAGCCATCTTTTCCAGAAAACAAAATTATCAAACAAGATTGTTGGGGAATTTCGAAATTGGGTTATAGAAAATCTGGATCACAAACAGGAATCGTGTGATACACTTTCCTTGTTTGATATTTCGACCCTAATTGCCTTGGGTATTACAAAATCCAAACTAGGATAATTCCTGAAGAAACAATTCTGATTTTAGGCACAAAACACAGAATCAATTTTGAGAGAGAATGAAGAAGAAAGCGTCCTATCAGTTTTCTGTGTTTCAACGAAGTTATACGTTTCCCGGACTTATCCACACAACGGATAAAACGAGAACAGTTTTCAACTTTGAAAAATACAAACTAATCCTTGAATTTGCATCTTTAAAGAATGAAAAATTAGTCCTTGTACTGTTCTAAAAAAAAAATTTCGGGGCGCTAACCCGAAACCCGACTTGACACAGTAGATCAGCGTTCGGTACTAACAATGTTCAGTAAATACAAATGTGCACTCTCACACCTCCTAACTTGTATTATAACTAAAACACTTGTTAAATCCATTACACTAAAATATATTTGGTGATTAAATCACCAACATCATTGTGAAACTTCTATATAAATATGACGAGGAATTTTTTTTGACACTAAATCAGGAAAGCCCTTTTTGGTATATTTTTGTTGTTTGGCTATTTAAATCCATTGCAAATGGAGCTGATTTGTTCATAATACTTTTTTTCCATATACAACAATTAATGTTTTAAAATGTTGTATTGCATAATTATATAATGCATAAATTGTTGTGTATGATAAAAAACTGTTGTATATGAAATATGAATCACTTCCCATTGCAAATATATAAATTAGTTATGCCATTTGATCTAATCTCGCAAATTTCCATCTCTACACTCTATTGGAAAATCTGTTAATCAAAGTATGTTTCCAACGTCTGTTAACCAAATTACGTTTACTTGATTGCAGGTGAACTACTAAATTTTGATGAATATATTCCTACATATTCCACTATAACTGATCAACAAATCAGTAAAGGTGTAAACTACGCTAGTGGTGCAGCTGGCATTAGAGACGAAACCGGAAGTCATCTCGTAATCCGACATGCACCATTTTAATAAAACGATATCTGTTAAACCCAAAAATCGCCATTTGTGACATGATATTAAATCTTTCGTGTTTAAATTTTCCACAGGGTGGTCGAATAAGCTTGGACATGCAACTACATAATCACTGCACTACAGTGTCACGAATTTTTAAATTGCAACAAAACAAGACGTTCACCAATGGATACCTACACAAGTGCATTTATTTAGTGAATATTGGAAGTAATGATTACATTAACAACTACTTAAAGCCAACTTATTACCCCACCAGCCATATATATACCACAGTCAAGTATGCAAAAGTGCTCGTGCGACAATATTCTAAACAACTAAAGGTAAATGTTTTTTACTTTTTTTCCGTTTGTGTTTATTTTAGATAATACTATTTTTCTATGCAAATAACTTGCTTTCTCATTTGAAACTCCCTTGTTATGACATATGATAGACTTTGTACGATTTGGGAGGTCGAAAGATTGTTGTTTTTGGCCTTGGTCCAATCGGTTGCACTCCAGCTGAGATATCCAACTTTGGCATTGATGGAGAATCATGTGTTGAGGCAATAAACGATGCAGTCAAACAATTTAATGGCAATCTTAAGTCTCTTGTTGACAAGCTAAACTCAAACAACCAGGATGCGAAGTTCACATTCATCAACCTTACAAGCATTGCACTACAACGACCAGGTAACAATATGTATATCTAATTTCTTGAGTGATGAATTTTAGAGTACAAATTAACAATTAAAAGACAAAATTTTCTAATAACTAAATATTTTCAGGTTTGGGGTTGTCTAATGGTCCTTGTTGTGAAGTGAGGGCAGATGGACAATGTATTAAAAACACAGATATATGCCCTGTTCGAGCATTGTCACTTTACTATGATGGTTTCCATCCCACAGAAATTGCTAACACTATCATTGCAACAACATCATTTTATTCGGTCTCACCCATGGATGCTTCTCCATATGATATTAGTCACTTGATTCGACTATGACAATAAAGATGTTCGACATGGTTATGTGATTCAATTAACATAATTGCAAATTAGATCATAAGTAGATATCTCAAAAGTGTTTGATTTCACAAAAAGGTCATGATTTCTTATGATTTCAAGTAAATGCATTCCCTTTATAGGCGAATTCGATATATAAAATTTGAGTAATTGACAGCCTATTACCCAAATTACACATCTAGTCACTCACGTGTAGGGGTGACAATTTATTACACGACACGATAAAAATACATGATATGAAACGAAATTAGGACGAAACTAAAATTTGAATTCGTGTTCGTGTTAGCTGTAAAAAAAACACAATGTCATGTCGTGTCGTGTTCATGTTCAAAATTCGAAACGAAATTGACATATAGCAGTTCTTTATCATGTTTTTCGTGTTTGCCGTGTTATATTTGATAAAGTATTCATCAAATACACTAGTTTTTAGTATATGTTATATTTGTCGTGTCGTGTCGTGTTTGTCGTTTTTTAATTCGTTCTTTTCGTGTTAGTTAAAAAAACATGACATCGTGTCTGTCACACCCCCAAACCAAGGATGGCGGAAACGTCCGGGGGTGGAGGACTTCATGTATAGCATCATAACCACAATTTTAATAGTAATTTAAGCAAACACAACCAACATATATATAATTGAAAAAGTTACATCACTTGTATGAATTACATGTTTCAAAATCAATTACAATATGTTGTCAAATGTGAAAAGTTTTGACGCCTTAACGTCCCATCCTCAAAAGCACTTGATAACCTGATTAGTGTTTTCCTGTGAATACAAGTTGTTTGAAAAGTGTCAACACAAAGGTTGGTGAGTTCATAAGCTTTTATTAATAAACTTAGTAGAAGTATTTCACATGAAAATGTCGCGTTTGTTTCAGAAAAATCCGATATTTCCCTTGAAATCCGAGAAATGTAGCCTTATAAACAAAGACTAGAGTGTATGAGAATTCATCGTTTCTTAGTAAAAATGTTGTGAGTTTAAAATGTTATGGACAGTAAATTTCTTTTATCAACCTAAAACCTACTTCGGTTTTATGAAACCCCGTAAACTTCATGAATTGTTATCCCCCTAAGTGAGTCGCTATAATCATACTGTGACTATGTGAACCTGCCACAACGTTTCTCAGGCGTCGCGAAAATGAAATGACATTTGTCACCCGTAGACCTGCAGGTCCCACTGTAGCTAGCAGCAAGGTGTGGGGTGTCAAACCCAATATAGATCTATATACAAGTATCACGTTCTCCCTCAAGGAGATTCTGATTATAACTACCAGGAATTATATCCCGCACTCGGACGTACGGGGAGAGAGAGAGAGTCTCACAACATAGGTTAACAAGTTTACGTGAAATGTGTGTGAATATAAATCTTTCTTGTATGGATGTACCCTTTTTGTACGAGTGTGTTGAGTGATGTATCATAAACTATACCTATTATAGTTTATCTAAAATGTATGTAATATGTATGATCTCTCTCATGGAAATGTATTAGTGTTATGAATTTATCAAACTATACTTTTTATAGTTAAATAATGTGTGTTCTAAAATGAATGAATAGTATTTAATATGAGTGTCTTGGTTTCAGTTCATAATGATAAACTAACTAGGAACACATTCAAATATTAAAACTTATGATTATACACTTTGCTCAACATAATACAAAGTGATATGATATTTACATGCTGTTGGCAAAATTTAGCAATTCTGCCCTGTTTTGGAAAAATCCTAGAAAAATCATACGAAGTTGAAAACTAGATCCGTAAATTCTGAGAGTTCACAAAATGTGTCTAGTTTGCTCATAATTTTTATCACAAATTAATATGACCTCTAACTTGGGTGAAAAAGTCCAAAATCACAGACTGGTCCGGATTGTTGTTTGAAATGATAGGCAGTTTTGTAAAAATCACCATAAATTGTAGAAAAATCGTATGGAGATGTGCAAGTAGCCATTTTAAAGCTAAAAACTTGAACTATTTGCACCTTGTACATTTTTGAAAACAAAAATATTTAAGATGCCCAAAACAGTCCGTGAATGGAGTTGAACTTTTCTGATGAAGGCTGTTAGAAATATTTTGATATGTTCTTAGTGTTTTAACTTGTATTCACCCCCTGAAAACTTGAGAAATCATGAAAATGTAGGGGTATGAACTCACCTTGAGTGATTTCAGTAGATGATTGTTGAAGAATGGAAGTGTTTAATTCAAGAACACTTGGAGATGCCTTGAAGGTTTTCGAGAATCTAACATCGTAGTTAGGGAGTTTGTGTAAGCAACCAAAGATTTGAGTAGAATGAAGTGAAATAGTAATAGGGAGGATGAATTTTTACTTACTAAGTGTGGAAGAACACTTGAAATCAGCCTTGGATCTCGAAAATTTGAGTAGAAGAGTTTGAGAGAAAAAGTGGTGTTTGTTACTTAGTGGAATGAGAGAAATGAGAGAAATGAGGAGTGTGGTTGTTTGTTCCAGCTCAAAAACGTGGGAGGGAGTGAAATTTGAGTGTAAGGGAACATTGAGGTGACATAGGTAAGGTGGGGAGGTATGGCTGGTCATAGAGTGGGTGTGGGGTGGTTGCTTGTGTCATAAGTTAAGGCAAAGTCAACACTCTACCTTAAATAAACCCCCCATTAGATCTTTATTATTTAATTAATGATTTTTATAAAAATATGTTTAAATTATGAATATTTAGAGTTTATTATGTTAAAATAAAATTTCTGGAGAAAATCCCGCTTTAAAATCACGAAAAACGGGCTTAAAATGTTAAAAATATCAAAAATGGGCTGAAAATGACAAAAATGCGAAATCTGGCCGAGGCTCGGCCCTCTTATGCTGAACCGAGAGAGAGAGGGAGGCGGAACCGAGAGGAGAGGAGAAGGAGGGAAGGAACCGAGAGGGGAGAAAGTAGAGGGTAGGAACCGAGAGGTGGGAGGGGACAGAGAGGCGCGCGAGACAGAGAGTGAGAAGAGGACAGAGAGTGCGACGCGAACAGAGAAGGCGGAATAGCGAACCGAGAGGTGGAATAGCGAACAGAGAGGCAGAATAGCGAACAGAGAGTGGGATAGCGAACAGAGAGTGGGGGCGGACCGAGAGGCACCGATCGCTCGGTTGGTCTCGGTTCTCTTAGCCACCAGAGGCTCGGCCTCTGGTCCTAAGAAGCCTCTCATTCCGGTTTCGGTTCCTAAAGCCTATTTTTCTCGTTTTCGCCCCGTTTTAAGCCGTTTTTGACCCGGTTAAGGGCCGGAATGACCCGAATGATTCCAAAAAGTTACGGGAAACTTTTGAGAGAGATTTGGGAGAGATTTCTCACACTTGGAGAGATTTGGGAGAGATTTCACATTCTTGAAGAGATTTCCCATACAAAGAGATATTTGAGAGAGGTTTCACATACTTGGAGAGATTTAGGAGAGATTTGACATTCTTGGAGAGATTTCTCATACAGAGAGATATTTGAGAGAGATTTCACATACTTGGAGAGATTTAGGAGAGATTTGACATTCTTGGAGAGATTTCTCATACAGAGAGATATTTGAGAGAGATTTCACATACTTGGAGAGATTTAGGAGAGATTTGACATTCTTGGAGAGATTTCTCATACAGAGAGATATTTGAGAGAGATTTCACATACTTGGAGAGATTTAGGAGAGATTTGACATTCTTGGAGAGATTTCTCATACAGAGAGATATTCAGAGAGATTTCAAGTGTGGCATTTGTGAGTGTTTGGTTCCGTAATGCGAGTCTCTTGAGCCCGTTAAGTCATGATTAAGGATCCCACACACTCCTAATGAGTATGCAACATGGTTTTCATCAGTTTAATTCATTGATTAGTACTAAGGCTTAGGAAGTTTTTAACACAAAACTTTTCTCCAGTGATGTTTTCCCATTAATATAGCAAGTTATACAATACGAACATAACACAAACCCTAATACACAAGGTTTAATAGAGTTGACCGGCTTGACTTGATGACTTGACTTGACTCAAGATTGACGATTGTCACATCATCCCCCCGTTAGAGGGAATTTCGTCCCGAAATTTAAATTCGGCTGGGACTTCAAGGGTTTGGGAAAAGATGTGGATACTTTTGCTTCATTTGATCTTCACGTTCCCAGGTAAACTCAGGCCCTCGTTTCGCGTTCCAACGAACCTTCACTATGGGAATGCGACTTTGTTTTGTTCTCTTGATCTCTCGATCCATGATCTCGACGGGTTCCTCCACAAAGTGGAGATTTTCATTAACTTCGATTTCTTCGAGTGGTATTACGAGTGTCTCGTCAGACAGACACTTCTTTAAGTTGGACACGTGGAAGATAGGGTGCACATTACTAAGTTCTTGTGGTAGTCGGAGTTTGTACGCCACAGGACCAATCCTAGCAAGGATTTCGAACGGACCGATGTACCTTGGGTTTAGTTTCCCCCGTTTACCGAAACGTATCACCCCCTTCCAGGGGAAACTTTTAGTAGTACCCGGTCTCCGACCTGGAATTCTAAAGGTTTGCGTCGCTTATCCGCGTAACTCTTTTGTCGATCACGAGACGCTTTTAGTCTTTCCCGAATTTGAATGATCTTTTCTGTGGTTTCCCTTATGATTTCAGGCCCAGTAAGGGTGCTATCAGGGACTTGCCCTCTGGCTAGCTGAGTATCTCCAACTTCGGCCCAACACAGTGGTGATCTACACTTGCGGCCGTAGAGAGCTTCGAATGGAGCGACTCCAATGCTAGTGTGATAACTGTTATTATAAGAGAATTCGATAAGCGGTAGATGGGTATCCCATGCCTTACCAAAATCTATCACACAGGCTCTCAGCATGTCTTCCAACGTCTGGATGGTTCTCTCGCTTTGTCCGTCCGTTTGTGGATGGTAGGCCGTACTCATGTCTAACCTGGTTCCCAGAGACTTTTGTAGGGACTGCCAGAAACGCGAGGTGAATCTACTATCTCGATCCGAGATAATGGATGTTGGTACACCATGTAGTCGCACGATCTCCTTAATGTACGTCCTGGTCAACTTTTCCATCTTGTCTGTTTCCTTTATTGGCAGGAAGTGCGCGGACTTGGTCAATCTGTCCACAACCACCCATATGGTATCCATCCC